TTTTTGTAAAATTGTTATCGGATTCCCCGATTCCCGGATTCCCCGATTCCCGGATTCCTGGATTCCCGGATTCCCCTATTCCCGGATTCCCCGATTCCTGGATTCCCCGATTCCCGGATTCCCCGATTCCCGGATTCCCCGATAAGTGATTTCAATAGTTTTCGTTTTTTTGGGACACCCTGTATTTTCAACTAAACACTATCTATTATTGGCATGAATGTGATGGAATATTCCTAACACCCCGGTGTATAGAGACACGAAAGGGCTTGCGCACTTTGTTTAAACAATTATTAAAGGTGATCTACAGTACGATCTGCGCATGTGCACAAATGAGCCCACTTTTTATGATACAAACAGTTTAACTATGTTTTGAGTTCTTGAAAAGCCTGATTGTTGTTTCTTGATCATTTATTATACTCTAGAAGCTTGAAAATATAAATAGTTGTCGAATAAAACTCAATATTTTGGACACAAAAATGCAAACAAAGGCTTTGTTTACATACGGACTGTAGATCACCTTTAAGCAGTCTCACACAAACAAAAAATATGGAACATGGTTTGTGTGTATCTGTAGATTACATTTACATACAATGCGTAGGTACATGGACATGTTCAGGCGTACATAATAGAATCGCACAAGAACACAAACACCGAAATTCAGCGTTTGACGGGTGATAGAAACGCGGCAAGAAATCGACGACTACCTTTGGAAGAGTTTCGAACCCATCTTCTCTTAGATGCCTTACAGCGAAACATCGGTACAACAAATGCAGCGAACTGCGGGCAAACGTACCGCTTCATTCAAATATACATTCCACGCTGCTTACATTACAGTAAACAGGAGGCCATTCAGGGTTGAAGGATACTGACATTTCCTGCTTAATATCGCACATATATTGTAGTGTTTAGTTGAAAAGATATTTGTGTTAAATGAACTTGATAAAAATTCTATTGTTATTAGAAACACACAGTTGGCAATTAAGACCATTGTAATGATTATAAGTTTATCTTATTGTTCGCCTGTTGGTGCTTAACAATATTAATAAACAACGTTTTCATGAGAATGAATGCATTCTTGACTCTGATGTCTAATTTCCAGATTTGTATGGTTCCCATATACAGTACATGCTATTGTATGCTTATTTCTTGATGTTGAATACCTTTAGACGATAACGATGATTATGCATATTCAAATTTTTGTATTGAATACGCGTTTCATGCAATTCGCCGTCAAATCCGTCCACTTGCATATCTCTACGTTTTATTGGTCGCTGGTTCATACACATGGTAGCTCGTTTTACTATCGTCATGAGTAACAAACGGTGTATATCAATATCAGTAATATTGTTGCTCCGTTCTTAAGAAACCACGCAAACAATATCAGTAAGATATATTGTTGCTCCGTTCTTAAAGAAACCACGCGATTTATCTGTATAATATGTTGTTGCTCCGTTCTTAAGAAACCACGCAATATATCAATATACTATATTGTTGCTCCGTTCTTAAAGAAACCACACAATTTATCAGTATAATACTCCTGTTGCTCCGTTCTTAAGAAACCACGCAATATAAATATATTTCACAGTTCGTACGGACCGTACGATCTGTACGGATCGACAAACTTTTCTGCCCTGACTTGAACACAACGCTTTTTATGTCTTTGCCTTCCTGCTTTTCATGAGGTGTTGCATTTAACGAGCTCAGTTTGCTGGCAAAACAAAACACTCGACTTGGGATAATTTGGCTGTGAAATTGATTCACAGCCGCTTTATTTAAAATCTCGTCATTTAATTAGAAATATCATAAAATCATTAAAATTGATAATTTGAGTTAATAACTTGAGTCTGTTAATGTTCATTGCCAGTAAAGGTGGCAGGACTACACGCCAATTAGGCAAAAAAGGTATAATAATGATATGTACAAGAAAAAACAACAAACTAAAATACAAAGCGGCAGGCCAGCGGGAGGAGGTGGGAACAAAATTCGTATGTCTTCACTCGATCACGAGAAAGGTTGAATTGAGAAGTGAATAACTTTGCTTTGCTTTTAGTAGCTAAAATTTGGCCTTGACTTAATGTTTCTTACGTAGGTAAAAGCACCGGAATTTCCTTCTCCGCCAAGTCCCACCTTAATCTGCCACAATCCAATCTAACTATTTCCTACTTTTATCTTATCACTATAATTCAGGATTGACATAAAAAAACATATTTCCGTAGGAAATATTTTTATTTATGTCTTTGCCTTCCTGCTTTTCACGAGGTATTGCGTTTAACGAGCTCAGTTTACTGGCAAAACAAAACACCCGACTTGGGATAATTTGGCTGTGAAATTGATTCACAGCCGCTTTATTTAAAATCTCGTCATTTAATTAGAAATATCATAAAATCATTAAAATTGATAATTTCAGTTAATAACTTGTTAATGTTCATTGCCAGTAAAGGTGGCAGGACTACACGCCAAAGACTACGCCATTGAAGTCAGTCGAACGTAAATCGCGGAGTCTCCCCACCCGAGGAAAACGCAACACCACTAGCAAACAGCATTTAATTATTATAATGTTTTATAGCGAGCCAAAATACACCGCAGTAACCCCTGTTAACTGTAGTGTAGGCCGATCGAAAGCAGTCGCCTCTGCGAAACCATTATGAGTAATAGCAGAATGTTGTAAATAGAGCCCTTCAATACTAAACATCTAACAGTCGCCCCTGCTGACTGTTGTTAACACAACCACTAAACATTTAACAGTCGCCCCTGCTAACTGTTGTTCACACACAGAAAGGAATAAAATAGTCAGAAATAACAGTTTAATTTAAGTGAATAATTACTAATGAACATTAATATATCTGGTGATCAAGAAGAGATGTCCGCCCCTGCTAGACAGGCCCTCTGGACCACCAAATATACTATGCAACGGACCAAGCGACAACACCCCGCAACATTGTCGCCCGGTTTGGAAGGATTGTGTTACTCAGATAATGAAGCAGTCGTTGAACCTAGAAGACGAATCTGTGCATCGGACAAACCATTCTCAGCAGCGAAAGATGCTGCACCGATTCGAAACGAATGTGATTTGTAATGCGACGGACTTAGGTCACAGTATTTGAGGCAAGCAACAAGGTTAGCGGTAAAAACTTTTCTCGGCACCGCGACGCCCTCCACTGTCATAAATACTGGACCCGGACTACAGCCACGATGATTTAAATATGTTGATAATAATTGTACAGGGCAAGCGCTTGTTTGCCGGTTGATGACCATAGTAAA